CATTTCACGTCCTGATTGCAGTGCATCTCGTCTTAGCAGCCTGCGACGTACTGAAAGCTGTGAGACATTTTGGAAAACACAAGGAAGTGTGCAAGCTATTTACTACCACAGTTGCAGTAAAAGTTGTTGGCTACCAGACCAGATATGTGAAATTAAATACATGCGCGGGAACATGTCGTTCTGAACAAACGTACAATTCTAAATCATGCGAGTGTTGTAGTCCCATCAAGAAAAAACCCGTTAATGTTGAACTTCTCTGTGTTAAGCCAGGTACTAAAGGTCCAGCATATAGATACCGACACAAAGTACATGAACACGAAATTTGTTCTTGCTTAAGATGTCTTGATCATTAAGCGATGACTTTGCATGATAACAATTCAAATACATGTTAAAAAAGCTTAAGTTTTTGACTGTATTGAGGAGGCAATAATCTGCGCAATCTAGTAAATCATCAACATGTTTCAATAAACTTGATGCATGATCTTTATCAACTATTTTTTCTTTTTCTCTCAAGAGTGTAGTTCTGTATGCCACTGGACAAACTTCTTAAGACTGATTATCAACGTGCTCCAATTCTATGGTTTCATCAAAAACACAAGGAAGGGAAGGGGGTGGGGAGCTACTTCCCATACATTCTCTTAAACGATATCCGTCTGAAAGAAATCCAAACGATGTTCTTACAACTTGCAAAGCTATCAGGAAGGGTCTTGCCTGCGGATTTGTGTACTGATCATGCGCATTACGTTAAAAACCATAGATCAACGGTTTTGAGAGAAAATCGTTAAATAACAATGATGGAAACGAAGTTTTATGAGCCCACGAGACTAAACACCTCACCCAAACCCTTGTTTTCACTTTGACTTAACGATAGGCCGTCTAACTTTCCACTTCTTGCTTCTAAAACTACTATAAAAACTACTTTAATTATCCGCTGACCACCACGAAAGGTGACCACTTTGCAAGTTGTGAGAACCTCATTTCTCGGTCCCAGACCTCATCTCGCAACAGAACCAATCAAAATCCAAAATGTTTCGCAGGAGGAATAGTGAAATTTTTAAAGCAGTAATAATCAAACTTGTTAGTGGCGTTTATATGCATTCTACATTATATGTAAATCCATCAAAGTTCGCAAAAAACAACTGAAACATGACATAGCCAGCCTCCTCTATTGGATGGAAACAAGGTTTTAACAAAAAAGCTATTTCAGAAAAGTCACGGAACAGATTTGCATTTGAAAGGCTTTTTAAAACCGCACTGATATGTTCAATCTCTTCTCCCACCCCCACATATAACGTTGAGCTATGCATTCACAATACAAAATTATATTTTTAACATTGTGCAGAGGATGAGAGAGACATGACCTTTTAACGTGAGAAAATGAGGCGAGTTTCAAAAACAACACCCTTTTAACCGGGATAAGTTATCATTATGGCCATCACAACCCTTTACACTACCGAAGCTCCCTCAGTTATTAATAATATCTCTTCAAACGGCCGGCGAAAATCCCCGCCACCTTTGATGCACATGGTTTGCGCCGTGCAAAACAAATGAATCACCTTAAAACAGTTCATTGTTTGACGTAATATCTGTAAGCTTGCTCTGTATGGCAGGCTGTTAAGGCGAGAAGCAGCTCTCAGTAGTGC